ATAGTTTTATCAAGAGATTATTTTCAGTATAAAAAATCTATTAATGTTTTTCTTTCTACTCGAGAGGAGAAAACTTTTTATTTTTCCCATTTTACACTAAACTAAAAAATCATTTTCATTTTTATGTTAAACGTTGTTTCTCTTCCGTTTTTTATTTTTTCTTTTTCGAAAAACATGAAAAACAAAAACAAAAACAACTCCAAACATGACATAAATTTCTTCATTTCACCAAGCATGTAATAGTCCTATTTTTAACTTAAATACACAAACAAATATGATCAGACAAACTCAATCCTAAACAGATTTGAACTTTCTAAATCACAAACCTCAAGCCATCTCTGGAGCGATGGGATATCAGGTACGAACCCTAACCCCCCAAACAAAACCTCCCTCGCCTCCGGCCTCCGGACCAGCAAGTGCGAGCTCAGCATCTGGATGTTGCGCCACCCACAGCCCCACCCAACATCTTCGGATTCGGTGCTCTGAAAATGGTCGACATAACCGGACAAAATGCTGGTCGTGTTCTCGGGTTCCGATTCCAAACAGTTCTTCAACAACGCCATTAAACCACCTTCGATCCTGCGAAAGACACCTCTTTTCTGCAAATCAATCGAGCAATTAGAGATCTTTTGGTGGATGTTATTGCCGGAATTAGAGGTAGAACTTTCCCGAAAATATGGAGGAGGTGAAGGAGGGGCGAAAGCGAGTTGGTGGGCGAGTTCCGAGTCAGCGGCGAGTCGGTGCTGCTCTTGCTCGTCTTCAAAGTGGTTGTTGGCGTGCCTGCAAATCCATATATTAAGAACCACCATTTATATACATACACCTGTATATACACATATGTATTATGGTGATTAAAAAAAATAGCAGAGAATACCATTGGAGTTCTGAGGACGGAACTTCAAGATGGCAGAAAGGGCACGCCGTGAAATACATTGTTATCAAGTTGTACAGTTTCTATCAACAATCGAAACTTTTTTTTTTGGGGGTTTTTTCAGAGAATAAGAAGAAGAAGAAGAAGACGACGATAAATATTAGAGAGCGGGAAGACGATTCGAGGAGGAGAAATATGGTCGATTCTAGAGGTACAATTTTGGGCGTCAGATCCGGTCCGGCCTAAAAGGAAATTGGGCCTTATAAGAGAGAGTTAGTTCAGGCCGTTCACTTCACCGATTTGAGTTTAAAATTTGAGTTTTACTATAGTAAAAAGCTCTCACAAACAATCACATCTAACTTTTTTGTTACAGTAAAAAGCTCTCACATAAAATCACATCTCAACTCAAATTACAAACTCGAATCAGCGAAGTGAACGGGCCCAGTCTAGCATTAAATTTAAAAAGTTCGACCTGATTCAAAATTTTATAAGGTATTTTTAAAAAAAAAATTTAAAAGTAATCTTAATGAATATATATGAGTTAAAATTTTTATTTTTTATTTTTAATTTATAATTATTTTAGTTAAATAATTACATTAATAAAAAAGTATTTACTAAGAGTAAAAAATCAAAGTATAGACTCATATATTTTTAAAAATAAATTATTATTTTTTAATTATAATATGACATGACCTTAAAGAGAGAGAATTAGCCCAATCCGACTCTAAACTCAAAAACTTAGAACCGGATCAGACTAACAATGATGGATTTTGAACTGACATTTTTAATCTAGCCTGAACTTACAGCTCAACTTCATTCATTCCAATTTTGAGCGCCGCGGAACTAAAAACATTTTACTGGGAACACGACAATGACATGGAAAAATCCAACAATAAGGCATAATCAAAATGGCAATTAAACTTGAAAACGCCCCCCCGCGCAATATTTAGAACAATATATTAAAAAACGACGCCATGCGAAATAAGGTAAGCGACAATCACTGCCAAAAGCGACAGTGATAGTAAAACGACAATAAAAAAAAACATGCGTTGAGCACGACAAAATAACTACAAAACCGCTTTA